AGGGTCAACTCATGCGAACCAGACTTGCCAAGATATTGGTGTATAAACCAGATTGGCCGTATGTCTATTTAAAATATGGATTAGAACTATCAAGGAGGGGGTATTTCTCCTTTTAACTGCCCAGTACTCTATCCTGTATGAAAATCTGCATGGGAAGCCAAATTGCAACAGGGGTATAGGTAATTCATTTAGATTGTCATTCAACTTTAAATATATATATATATTGACTTCAGAGAGAAGAAGGGAGAAGGAGAGAGAGATAGAAACTTCAATGATGAGAGAGAATCATTGATCGGCTGCCTCCTGCGTGCACCCTACTGGGATTGAGCCCGCAACCCAGGCATGTGTCCTGACCAGGAATCGAGCCCTAACCTCCTGGTTCATAGTTGACACTCAACCACTAAGCCACACCAGCCAGGCCAGCCGGATCCTTTTGACTAGACGGAAGCATTTCCAAGTTTCCCCATTTGGGAAGGTGGAAGGGAGGTTTCCACTGGTTACACTTTAATCATCGCTCACTCAGAGGGTGAGTTCACAACCATATTTAGAGTCCTCTCTCTGTGGCCTTTGCCTCCTGATTCTAGCACTACTTTAATGCTCAGATTTATTCTCTCTTCTTTTCTTTTGATTCATGGACATCACCAATGAGGAAAATTGATTTGTCTCCATCTTCCTCCTCCTCCTCCTCGTCATAGTGACTAGGAGGCTAGCATTTTATTGAGCAGCTACCAAAGCACCACATGTGCCTCTCAGTGTGATAGCCCCATTTTACAGATGTGGAAACTGAGACTCAGAGACCTTGAGTCACTTGCTCAAGGCAAGAGTCTTTCTGATCCCAAACCTTCCTAACCACCCCATGACTTGGGACTGGGGGTGGAGGGAGATTTCTCTCCGGTGACCTTCCCCTTCCCGGTGCTCCTTGTCATGTGCTTCCCGCTGCCTCTTCCCCGCAGCCGTGGTGAAGAACCCACCCAACAACCTGTGGATCATTGCCGCGGTGCTGGCGCCCATCGCCGTGGTCACGGTCATCATCATCATCATCACTGCCGTGCTCTGCCGGAAGAACAAGAACGACTTCAAGCCAGACGCCGTGATGAACCTGCCTCAGAGAGCAAAGGTACGTGGTGGCAGCGGGGAGGAGGGGAGCAGGAGCCCGCCCTGCAGGGCGGCTCCGCCTGTCTTCCCTCTCTTGGCTTTGGAGACATTGAAGTACCTTCAGAAACATCCTGACAAGCCCTGCTTTTGAAGAAGACCCTTTATTCATTAATTTATGTGTTTTAATGTTTAAAAAATTATGGGAAAATGTATATAACGAAATTTACCATTGTGACCATTTTTAAGCGTTGGTAAGTAGAGTTACTTTATTGCACACCCTTTAATTTTATAATCAGGACACCATAGCTCATGCTTATCTCCTCACTCTTCGCCAAGTGCTATACGTGGAGCAGCTAATCCTCGCAGCAATCCTAGCAGAAGGGCCCATGTTTGACAGAGGAGGAAATTGAGGCACAGAAATCTAGGTAGACCTCATCTCTGACACTCTCTTTTTACGAAGATGTGACTCCTTCAAGATCGCACAGTTAGTACATAGCAGAACTGATAGAATTAGGTCTCTTGGCTCATAACACAGGGCTCTTTGGGGCACTTAGACGCTAAAAATATTCCTTCTTCCATTGGCCTGAGTGGCTTATCCTCAGAGGCTGCCATGATGGGCAAGCTACAGAGCCTCGGCCAGTCCGCCGTCAAACTCCAGTGGCTCCAGTGAAGCCTGGCCAGGAGCCCCATCCACTCCCGCAGCCTCCACAGGCCTGCCCCGTCCACTCTGCTGACTGGAAGGGAAGTGGACGGAGGAAATTCCAAAGGCTAATTTTCCAGTCACGTAGCTCCCTCCATGATATTCTGTAAAGGAACTATAATAACCTCCAATACCCGATGTTTAAATAATGTCTTACAGTTTGTGGGGCTCTTCTAGGTCTGTCACCTCACTTGCTCATCACAGCAACCTTGTGAGGTAGGTGGTAGTCAGGGAGGTTTCATTTTATTGCTAAAGAGAAACTGTGGGAGCCCAGCCAGTGTGGTTCAGTGGTTGAGTGTCGACCTATGAACCAGGAAGTCACGGTTGATTCCCGGTCGGGGCACATGCCTGGGTTGCAGGCTCGATCCCCAGTGTGGGGCCTGCAGGAGGCAGCCAATCAGTGATTTTCTCTCATCATCGATGTTTCCATTTCTCTCTCCCTCTCCCTTCCTCTCTGAAATCTATCTATATATTTTTTTAACTGAGGGACTTGTTCAAAGTCACATAACTCTCAGCAGAGGGGCGACTGAGGCCCATGTCTGAGTCTTTGGGCTCTTTTACTTTATACGCCTCTCTGAACCCTGGGCTTTGGCAGGTAGAATCCCCTTCCAGCTCTGAGCTTCCGAGCTTTGTCCGTCGGCGCAGGAACGAAGCGGTGAATGGAATTTCACATCCATTGGAATGCATGTCATGGAGATCATTCTTGCTGGGTGATCAACCCTCACTTCAGCCAAAGAAATCAAATGAATTTGATTGTTTATTAAACCAATTCACTTGTCGAGAAGCTGCAGCCTGAGCAGACGCCCTGATACTGAAGAGCCAAACCCTGAAGAATGTTGTTCTGATTCTGTTGACAGAAAGCAAGCTGCTTCCCAGATGCATCACGATGTTGGTAATGATCCAAGCAGTGAAAACTGAAACTGTTCCAAGTAGGGGTGCTTCATTTCCATCGGAGCTTACTTCCAACTTGAGCCTCTCAGACACAGCAGTGATCCCCAGAATGTAATTGCAGCCCAGTCCAGGGATGCAAAACATGCCACACTGAGGTCGTAAATGCCACCTTTGTGTTATAGGTGAAGCCAACATTTTATTAATTTGCCAAGATGCGTTGGCTGGCACATAATTTCAGCATACCTTCTGACTTGCAAGCCACCTGAAGTTGGAACAGATTAATGTTTGTGGGTTCTCATAGCCCCTTTTTATGTTCCTTCCCGGTCATTGTGCTGATGTTGAAAGTCAGGCAACTCTCTGTTGCACGAGATGATTGAATTCACTTGTGTGTGGTGATGCTGGTTGTTCTCTCCCTCAGTGAGGCTGGACTGTGCACCTTGATTGCCGAAGCCCTTTGATCACGGGGAACCAGGGGGTGGAAATCTTTCTTACCGCATCCTTTTGCCCTTGCGACCCAGCGACACTGCAGTGTTTGCGAGAGGAGAGCCACCTGCATCACTTCTCATGCCCTGTGTGTGAGCAGAACGCATTGAATGCCAAGGGAAGGGGTGGAATGAGAAAGTTAGCCCTTGCCACCAGTCCACAGGCCAGGAAGGTGGTCTCCCAGTCTCCTGGACATCACTGCGTCTTTAGAATGCAGGCCACAGTGCCAGAGGGCACTGGGGATCTGGCTGAGACTCAGTGATAGACTTAACATGCTAAGAGGAGGTGATATGGCTGTCCTGGGCGCTAAAGCCAGGGTGTGAGGCCCGTATCCTTCAGAGACAGACCCGTCACCATTGTTGTCAACTGGGCTTTTGCAGGTAGAATGTTGAGAGGTTGATAAACAGGGCCAGGCAGTCACCTCCTTCCTCGCTCACTTCTCTTTACTCTTTGTCATTGAGTTCACAGCCTTTTCCCAGTTTTTCTCTTCATATACTTGAAAGGAACATGGCTCCAAGGGACAGGCAACTTAGGAGACTCTAGTCAGGGCCGTATCCAGGTGTACATGGAGGTCGGTGGGCCTGCAGTGGTTGGCATGGCCATCTGCTCAGGTCAGGTCAGTCACCCCCAAAGATGCCCAACTGTTTCCCCGCTCTCGCATACTCTCTGTGTGACCTGTGCTTAACCTCTTTGTGCCCCAGTTTCCCCATCTGTGGAAGGAGGATGGTAGGCTGTTGTGAGGATTGAGTTATGTAAATTACTGTGAGCTGCGCCTGGTATATAATAAATATTATGTACAAGTTGGCTTTTATTATTACAATGCTTTCCTCTTAAGATATCTGGGTAACATGTCTACTTTTGAAATTGTTAGAGATAATTTGATTTGATAGTTTTATAAAATTCAGTGAAGTAACTGTAAAGACTTCATGATGATGCGTTCAAGGGGTTGGGGATCGCTCGTTGTATCTAATGGGGAATTCATCTTGGACAGTTTCTATATTGGAGATTGAAAGACCACTACCCTGCCAGTCAAAAGAGTAAGGGACTAGGAGCCTTTCACCACTTAGCTTGTGACCTTGGGCAAATCACTGAACCTCTTTAAGCTTTTATTTGCTTACGTGTAAAATGAAGACCGTGATGTTCGCCCTGCTTACCTCATGGGACTCTGTGAGGACAAAGTGAGGTGTCAGCGTTTTACAGGCTCTAAATACTGAACATATGCAGGGGCTGTTATTAACCTAATAACTATGACCACCTCTTGTCACTCCTTAATGTCTTTATTTCTGCTTACCTGTTATCAGCCCAGTCCCAGCAGGGAACTTCAGCCCAATGTGAAGGGTGAGGATCCAAATCCAGAAAGAGGTGGGGCAGGGGGAGTGGGGGCGAGGGAGGGAGAGGGCCAGAGACAGCTTGTCCTCCTCATGCGGTTCTTGGGAAGTCTTGGTTGCCATTGGAGACGCCCAGCTACTCACTGACATGCCGGGAGTCTCAGCACAGAAGCAAGGCCAAGTACAGTAGGAGATGCCCAACCAAGATGGCAGGCAGCAGAAGGAAAGGAGAGGCCGTGGGAAGAATCACCAGCAGTGGTTAGGTATTTGGGCTCTGGCTCCACAGACCAGCTGTGTGAGCCTGGGTAGTTGTTTAACCTCTCTGAACCTGTTTCTTCATCTTTAAAATGGGGAATCATAAGAATACCTACCTCTTTGAACTGTAGTGAGAATAAATGACAAGTTTATGTAATGTGTTTGGTACTGTACCAGTAATAGCAAGTGAAGCTGCAACTGTGAAGTTCTTGAGGGTAGGGAGACAGTTATTATTCATCTTTCTACCTCCAGCAGCAAGCACAACCCCTGGCACAAGCCACTGCTAAATAACTATAGTTGGGACAAAATCAAATAAGATAATGGGGCGGGGGGAGGGGGGAGTATTGCAGAAAAGGGGGCCAGCAGGAGATGAGGCTGGGCATGTGTGTTCAGCCAGAATGGGAAGGGCCTTGAATGCCTTGTCGTAGAGATTAGGTGCCATGAATCATTGTTGATGACCTGATGTGGTTCAAGGGAAATAACTTTGGAGGCTTGTTAAGGGCAGGCCGGCAAAGGAGCAGAATGGAAGTATTGAGACCAAGGCAGGAGCCAGTAAGACAGTGGACTTGGAGAGCAAAGGTCAGCTTCTAGAAACATTTCAGTTGAATGCAATTGGTGACCAGTTGGTTGTAAGAGCTTCTAAGAACACTGTCAGTCATCCAGAAGCTCCATTCTGTTTCATGTGGCCCCACGGATGGGGAGGGAAATGAATAGACGAACACTCGTGCGGAAACATTCCCAGATCCTGGCATAGAATGTCAGTGGCTTGTCAAGGGCGGGCTACATGGGTCAGAGTATGAGTGTCTCAGAGAAGAGGGAGGGGTGAGCACACTGCCCAGAGAGACTGTCCCAGGGAATTGGGGGAACTGTCTGTGGCAAAACTATAGACAGCTTAAAGTAAGGAAGCTTTGCCCGGCTTAGCAATAAAACTCCCTTCTGTTCTGAGATTCGGTTGCAAGATTTGACCAGTTGGGCCACAGTCCTAGACTATTAAATCTAGCTGGAGCCTTCCTGTTTTATTTCTCAGCTAAATTAGATGCTGAAGGAAGAGCTTCTGACCAAATCAAGTTCTGTTAGAACTCAAATGGTGGAGATTGAGTTTCACCCCCACACTTTCGTGAAGAGAATCACTGATGTCCATTCCAACTGGGCTAAGATTTAGTAGCAAGGCTAACAATATTGGCTAATACTGATTGAGCACGTACTGTGTGCCAGGCACTTAGCTAAATGCCGGACTTAAATTTACTTGTTTAATCCACACCGCATCCCTTCGAGGGTGGTTGCATGTCACTCTCACACCCAGACACATTTTATCCGGTTTACACTATTACTATCTCCATTTTACCAATGAGGAAACTGATGTGCAGGGAATCTCAGTTACTTACGTCAGGTCACCCAGCTAATAGGTGGCAGAGTTGGGATTTAAACCCAGGCAGTCTGCTTTCGAAGCTGTCGCTACTAACCATCCCATTGTCCTGCTTCAAATGTGTATTGCGCTCCTTTGGAGCATAAAGCAGGATGGAGACACTCCCAGGAATTGTTTTAACAGGCCTCTTGGTTTTTTATTAGCGCACTAATAGATGTCTGTTGGGTTTTGCTCACAGCTGCCCTATTCACTTGGGCTTTCAGACATGGTGCAGTAAAAGCCTTGCTAATGTCTCCGTAGCAAATGGTAGGACAGCCAACTTGCTTTAGGCAGTGCTCTGGATTAAATGGTGATTCCGTAAATGCCACATGCTGGCATGTTTCTCTCCCTCTGTGTTCAGATCTGTGATTCATTCCCCTTTAAGACTGACGCGTGGTGGAGGTGGAGCAGATAGGATCGTCTTCATTTCTCAGATGAGAAAATTGATGTTCAGAGTTCAAGTTACTTGGCAAGTCAAGTGACTTCAAGTCACGCACCTTTTATTGTACGGGAGTTAAGGGATGATGGAATATTCCTAGGTCGGAGATGACAGGACCTGTTTAACGTATCAATTAAGAATTTTGAATTAGTCATATCCAGAGACTTAAAATTAGTGGCCTAAAAATCCTTAAATGAAGTGTGTTCTCATACACGTTATTTGCATCTTGTTTTCACTATTCATTTTTCTGATTAAGTCTTATATAGTGATTCTGAAGCTTGGAGGAATCCACATGGACTCTGACTTTGCAAAGACAAATTATGATGGAGATGACTGTTGATTGGAAAGCTAAGTAGGGTCCTGACACATGCGCTTTCCCGCCCGACTTCTCCTAAAGCCGCTGTTAGAGTCACACTTTACCAGAAATGTGACTGCAGATCTGTTTCCTCTTTGCAGCCTGTGCAAGGCTTTGATTATGCCAAACAGCACCTGGGCCAGCAAGGGGCGGACGAGGAGGTCATCCCCGTGACGCAGGAGACGGTGGTCCTCCCGCTCCCTGTCAGAGATGCTCCTGCCTCGCAAGAAAGGGACGTCGCCCAGGACGGAAGTACCATCAAGACGGCCAAGTCCACCGAAACCAGGAAGAGGTAGGCATGGGGCCAACTTTGGCCTCTCCGTGTCAACAAGAGAAATGATGGATGGTGAGAGGAACCAAAGCCCTCAAGTGAATCCCACTGTTCTCTTTACAAATTCCCCTTCACGCTCATTTTGAATATTTGAAAAGGAGACTGAAGGAGATGAGGAGAATCACATAATACCTGCTTCTCCTGAGCCACCCTTTGTAAGGTTTTGTATGGCAGATCAACCACGACAGCAGAGCTTTAGCTCTTGCATTTATTATAATAAATTTGGCACTGATGCCACCCTTACACGTTTTAACTTACGGTAAAAGCAGTTGCTTCGATTTAGCGTGCGTTGTTGTAGTTTATCTGGCAGTTTCTCCGTGGTTTATGATTTTAGTTCAAGACCATTTATTGAGATTTCACTATGAAGAGAGTTCATTGACATGCATTGGGAGGACTACAAAGAGGTTTACGATTGATCCCTGACCCCAAGAATCTTGTGATGGAGAGACAGAGAGATAAATAGCTGGAATCCAAGCATGGTCTGCAGAAGCCCACAGTGGAGTCCGAACAAAGTGCTGTGGGAAAGAGAGGAGGAAGAACTTACTCCTGATGAGGGAGGGCATCGTGGAGGAGGTTGTGTTGTAGCTGGGCCTTGAAGGGTGTGTGGAGTGTCAATGGGTGGAAAGAGATGACGGCATCCAGTCTAAAAGAGCCGGGAGACATAAGGCACAGCCACGTCCACTTAATGGTGAAGGATGAGACCAGAAGACAGATTAAAATTGTCGATGGTTTTAATTTGTGCTCTAGCCAATGGGAAGCCACGGAAAGTTCTTCAGGATGACAGTAATGTCCATCCTAAAAGATAACTCAGGTGGTAATGTGGAAGATGGAAGGTAGTGTTTGGCTAGAGGCCAAGAGACTCACTAGAAGGACGTTGCAATCGCCTCGTAAAGAGGTAATGAGCCCTAAGGCAAGCCCTGTTGGCTGGCTTAACAAACTACCATTGCCAACCCCCTTCTCCCTTGCCACAAGACCACAATGTCTGGAAAAGCTACGTCCTGCCTGCCGCTTTCCCTCTTTCCTTCCCTTCGCCTCACAGATATTTATTGATTGTTTGCTGTTTACCAGGCACTGGGGATACTGCAGTGAACTAGACAAATTTCATGCTCTCTTGGGATTTACAGTCTAGTGAAGAGACAGACAATAAGCAAACAGAGAAAGAGACACATAGTAGGTCTAGTGGTGGTGAATATGAAGAAGAAAACAGAAGCATGGTAAGGACACAGAGAGCTGGAGAGGGGCCATGATGCTCTTTTAGCAGGAAGTCAGGGGAGGCCTCTCTGATAGAGGGACATTGAGAAAGACCTGATGGAAATGGTGTGTGAGCCTCAAGGCTATCTAGAGGAAGAACGTTCTAAGCAGATGGAACAGTATATGCAAATCAGAGGCAGGAACTTTTTGATTTGCTTAAAGGAGAACAAGAAGTTCAAAGAGGCTGAGTGAACCTTGGAGGAAGTGGTAGTGGATGAGTCAGACTTTAAGAAGTTGTCATGGTAAAAAGAGATCTATAGCAAAATAAACTAGGAAATGCTGAATTAAACAGAATGCGATGAGTCTCTTTATGACAGGGCAGAACTGAGCCTTTGACGTGCTCACGTGCATTAGGAATAGAGTAAACATTTTCCAAACGTATACTCATCTGTGAAACCTCGACAAGAACATCCCACCTGGACTATGTGTTCTGCTCTTGGCAGACTCTACCTTGGCCCATGCATGGCGTGAGCGGGCACTTCCAGTGTTCATGATTTTTGGGGTGCTGAAGTACGTGGAAGTGTATAGATCTGAGAATTCCAAGTTCCCACAGGATGAGGAGGGAGGAAGAGGAGCATCCACTAGCAAGTGCTGCATTTTATGCAGTCAATTTCCATGGAGAAAAGGGTCGGATGCCATTAGGTTCTGAATCTGGACAGTTGTCAATAGAAGAACAAGGGGTTGGATGAGGCCTCTGGATACCTGCCCCCTGTTGTCTCCCTGTTGTCTCTGAAGGCAGTTGGTCTTTATGCTTAGCCCACCCACAGGCTGGCGTGATCTAAGGCCCCAGGGAGCGTGAACTCACTCAGCATGAACTTTTTCCACTGGGTCCAGAAGGCCAGAGTCCAGCCCTAGGGAAGGCAAGAAGGCCCTGTGGCTTCCCTTGTCTAAATGCTTGCCACAGCTGCTGCATTGTAGGAGAGACTGTAACGAGAAGGTGCTGCCCTAGCCGGTTTGGCTCAGTGGATAGAGTGTTGGCCTGCGGACTGAAGGGTCCTAGGTTCGATTCCGGCCAAGGGCACTTGTCCAGGTTGCAGGCTCGATCCCCAGTGTGGGCGTGCAGAAGGCAGCTGATCATTGATTCTTTCTCATCATTGATGTTTCCATCTCTCTCTCTCTCTCCCTCTCCCTCTCCCTTCCTCTCTGAAATCAATAAAAATAAAATAAAATTTTAAACATAAATAAATAAAAAAGAGAAGGTGCTCCGGCGTGTGGGGAAAGCCACTACCTGCAGGGGGAGTTCTGGCTTCCAGGGCTGATTGGCCACCTCCCTCTATACCTGTATACCTGGCACAATGCCCAATACAGTGGGTGCTCATTTCCTGAATGAATGAAAATAGCTCAAATTGATAGTTTCAAATGAAAGTAGTTAGCAGTTAGCACAGTTAAGAATGTGTGTGTGTGTGTGTGTGTGTGTGTGTGAAAGAGAGAGAGTTAGAGTGAAGAATTTAATGGTGGAGTGACTTCATCTTCAGTTACTAAGGTATATTCTGTATAGAGAATAGCCAAAGAGAACTGTGATCCCTACATGTCCCTGAAGTTGCCCTGTGAGTCAGACACTCGGCAACATCTCCAAAGTGCTGTGTTTTCATAAGAGGGCATGCTTCAACCATTTCCATAGTCACTGGGGGTGAATGAAAAAGAGATGGGGACTGAGGGCTGCGCTCACTGAACTTCTCTGCCGAGCTAAGCACCGGTCAGCACACTTCAGGACAGCCAGCTACGTAACCCCGGCTGCAGTACGGGTGTTTTTTTAAATTTCCGAATCATTTCTTTTTTTGTAGATAAAACCGGAAAGAAAGGCTGCAGACATAAACTGTGCAAATAAAATAACCTTGAGAGGAGGCTGTGCGAGTCAAAACTTACCATCTCCTGTTGCTATGGTTACCTCCAGCAGGTCACCCAGTGAGAATGGCTCTGTCATCAGCAACGAATCAGGGAAGCCCAGCCCAGGGAGGCGCTCGCCCCAGAATGTAACGGCACAGCAGAAAGCGACAAAGGAGGAGGCACGGAAGAGAAATGGTGAGAAGCCTTCCCTGCCAAGTACCGCCCTCGAGCCTGTCCCACATATGCGTCGTGCACACAGGCCTGCACACACTCACACACCCCCGTGTGCCACCCTCATTTCTTCTTTCTGTTTTGTCCTACAAAGTCCACGAGTCAGTTTCCTACCTACCTGTTAGAGTATTGCCTGACCCCCGTCTCTGAATTACCCTGGCTCCTGTTCTTATGGAATTGTGCAGGGCCTTAAAAAACTCTAATGCAGAATGAACTGATGTTTGCTTAGAGATTTTTCGATTCTGGGGTGAATCGACATTTCTAGCACCAGGTCCTCTTGGGTGGCAGGTCTCTGAAATGCTGCTTGTCTTGGAGATTCCCCCCAGTTTTCTTTCCCCGACTCCCCTCATAGGTTCCAGGGGTTCATTCTAGGCCAGTGAGTCCAGATGCTGCAAATCCCCCTCTCCCAGGAAAAACAGCACAGTGATAAATATTATCAGAGACATCAGCCTATGCTCCTGCCTCTGTTTTCCAGGGAAGCTTAACGGTTGAGTTTCTCAAACAGATCTTCCTCCTTATAAAGGTTTGGTGTTGGGGTTTGTTGGTAAGTCCTCGGAGCCACTTGGCTGTGCTGTGGCACCATCTATGTACAGCTCACATCTGCCGGACCCCAGGGTGCAGCCTCCCTGTCTTCCCAGTCCCACTTGGCTCTGATCCTCCTCTCCACTCGGTCCTTCCATGAGTGATGCCGGCGTCCTGGAGCCCAGATTCAAGTACCCCATGCTGCCACCTGGATCAAGGAAGGTTCCTTTAGGACAGTGGTTCTCAACCTTCTGGCCCTTTAACTACAGTTCCTCATGTTGTGACCCAACCATAAAATTATTTTCGTTGCTACTTCATAACTGTAATGTTGCTACTGTTATGAATCGTCATGTAAATATCTGATATGCAGGATGGTCTTAGGCGACCCCTGTGAAAGGGTCGTTCGACCGCCAGAGGGATCGCGACCCACAGGTTGAGAACCGCTGCTTTAGGAGTTCCAAGGGTCGCAGGCAGAGTCCTACAGAAATGCCAGGGGGAAGCCCAACCATCTGGCAGTCTGCTTAGTTGTGCTTCCTTTTGAGAGGAATTGGAGGAGGTGTAGCAGGGGCTCTCTCTGGGAGCTAGTGCCAGAATATTCTTTTGCTTTCAAATGTCACTTACTTATTTCTTTGTTTCTGACAAAAGAAAGAAGAGAGAGAGAAAAGAAAGAATGCCACAATGGACCCCGTGCCCAGCTATCCTATAAAACACTTGTTTAGAATGTCATGCTGATTTGATCCTTGGATTTTTTCTTCTCCTGAACTGCCCTGCCCTGTAACACAGAGACTGCTTTCCACTCCAGAGCCAGGCTGTGACCATGGGGTTTTCCTGGGACATCTGTCCTCCTCGGGGCCAGAAGTCCTGCCCAGAATCCGCTCTCGGCCAACCCAGCTCACAGAGGGCCCGAGCTCTGACATGTGAAGGGGGACGTGAACTTAGCAACTTTCTTCTCTTCCTTCCCAGGGCGAGGTGCTAAGAGCGAAGGCGGGAGGGAGGGAGGGAGGCCTCACAGAGACAATGGACAGTGAAGACACAGGGGAAAGTTGCTTTAACCAAGTGCAGAGACTGCCATCACCACCCAATCAAGGGACCCTCTCTGCTTCTCTACTCCCTCCCGACCTCCCTGCCTGCCTTCCTTGATATTCTTCCTGGAAATATATAAGGTCAAGTCAAAGTCCACCCTCGTCCAGATACCCTATCACCTACCCCAGTCCTCAAATGACCTTGAATAACATAGCGTGTCTTTCTCAGACCTTTTACCACGCATATGACAACACACCGTATCTTTGTTTTCTGTTGCGTAGCTTTGTTTTGTTTTGTAAAACGGGATCAATGTACATATTGTTCTGTGGCCTTTTTCTTGCAAAAGAATGTGCAGCCTACAGACTCCTCTGTCAGTAAATACACACGTACAATGTGATGCCTTTCCCCGTCCCCTGCATTGATTTCATAGACAAGGAGGAGCAGGTCCGGTTTCAGATCCCGTCGTTCCCCACGCCTCTGGGGAGACACTGACAGGCTCGAAATGTCTCTGCTGACCTCCCCCATCCTTGTTCTGCCACCTCCTCTGCTTGCCTCCTGAGTCCGTTTTGGTCACTGTGATTATTTAAGCATCAGGTTCGGAAATGACAACAGCACGGCGCACAAGCAGAATGCAATTACCGGCCAGGCTGAGGTTTTCATGCAATAGCTTTATCTAAACGCCATCCTTTCTCCCGGTCCCCAGTGCTTTTGCCAGAAGTCGTCAGCCCAGGGAATTTTCAGGGTTGGTGGCTTCTGTTTTGCCGCTGATTCCCACCCAGTGAGGTTTCCGTTTGAAATTTTCAAATAGAAGCGATAGCACCAGCACATTTAATGAAAACAGATGCTGAAGCACATCCGAATTCTAGGATGGAGCTTCAACAGAACCTACACTTGTCCTTTTTATCAAAGGGCTTCACTTTATCATAATGCTAGGTTATA